CGGACAGCGAGTCTCCTGCAGGAGTTCAGCTGGGAGGTGTTTGATCATTCACCCTACAGCCCGGACCTCGCTCCCAGTCATTTCCATCTTTTCCTACACCTCAAGAAATTCCTGTCCTGTCAGCGTCAGCGTTTTGAGAATGACAGAGAGGCGGAGATGGTTGTCACACAGTGGTTCCAATCCCAGGCGGCCGACTTCTACGACACAGGTATTCAAAAGTTTGTCCCACGGTATGACAAATGTCTCAATTCCGGTGGCGAATATGTTGAAAAATAGCTGGACACTTGCTGTATCTGTTGCAATAAATATTTCCATGAAATTGTGTTTTGTTTCTGTAAACGGCCCCAGGGAAACTTACTTTGTGGACGAGCCTCGTATTTACTAGACGATGGATAATATCCAAGAAAATTTTTATTCAATTAAATGCTTTATCTGATAAGTTTCAAAACTTAAGCTTCTTCTTTATCATGACTTACGATGTAATAAACCATTTTCCAAAAATTTGAACAAGTTAACTTTTATTCCATAACTATCAGCTTATTTATGCTGCTTCTGTACAATCATATAATCATCCATCCACCAAACAGCATATAAAGGTATGCTGCTCTAGAATCTTCATTACTAGAACACTGAAAGCAAAAAGATGGAAACTTTATTTCCTTCAAATGAAACACTTTATCATGTTATGAAATCACAGATTTTAAAACATATACACATACATACACTGCTCTTAATTATCTTTCTTACGCATGGATTTGGATTGACTAATCACTGATTTTGATGCTACATCAAACTAAGTACCTAACACTGCAACAGTTTACTTCCATTCTCCCTTTTCATAATCAAATTTGGAACTGATGCCTTCTATAGGATTTACTCTAAGGTCAATCATACGCTTCAGCTGTGCTTTCTTGCTTTCTTCAGAGAATGATGTAGGCAGTTCTTTGTATACTGAAAAGAGGAAGACCTTAAATGAAATGTTAGTCTTTATATGTGCAATAAAATAATCATAATGCAACATACAACAAAAATAATTAATTCATAGCAACAAAATCTATGAAACAGAATGAATCAGGGTATTTATGTATAAAAATACATTTTGTTTCTAATATATATCAGCAAGTTTTCTGCCCTATTAATTAAAGGTTCAACCAGAGTCTTGGTTCCTTTATTATTTCTGAAACATGCAATAAAAATTCTAATTTCTTAATTAAAATAATTTCCACCACACACGGTGTTTCACAAATGGTCTTCCACACACTGGAAAGATCATTCTTTCTCCAACAAATGCACTGACTTGCTACAGAACATTCATAGATAAAAAATAAAATACCATGAAAGACCCACAAATAAAATTCACACCCAAGACAAGATTTGAGCATGCCAATTACAGAACCAAGTATAGACTTATAATAATGATTAATGGATTCAAATTTCATATACAACACCACAGCTGTTTTCTCACCAAACAGTCTTTCCAAGATGAAAACCCAAATCCCAATGGATATTAATACACATGCAATTCCAATGATGGACTTCCATTCACCAGTTGGAGCATTCATTTCAGTAAATGTCATACAAAAACTGGCACGATAAAGGGCTTTCTTCTCCTCCAAGGTCAATTTTCGCCAATCTCCCTTCTCTTTTTCTCGCAGAGCCTACAATTAAAAGAAATTACTTTTCACTGTGATATAAACTATTATATACACACATTATAGATACTGTTGAAACCAATATAAGAAACTATGTAAAATATCAGTGTGTTCAAACTATCAAGTCTCCAATTTTTTTCTGTGAATTTATAAAACATAATGTAAGGCACCACTACATATGTTTATTGCTTCCTCCTCCTACAAAATGGCAGAACTATTCATACCAGAGAACAATATTTTCATATCAATCAGCAACATCTAGTACCATTTAATAATGGCATAAACACACCTGAAAGTAATACTCTACTGAAATCTTCACAGCATAAAAACAAAAATGCAAAAATGTAAGGAACCGTTTAAAGGCTACATTAAGCGGAACCTGGAATGAGAATCTGTACAGTAAATATTCTTAAAACAGAAAATCATCAGGCCCTACTACGTAGTTTCAATCTTTGGTTGTATGTATGTTATCTGTAAGTCTACCATGTATCATTCTTTCGTTGTATTCTGATTTAGTGTTCTGTGGATTATTTAAGTTGTGGAGTTCACAAGAAAAGTGGGTACTTCGGTTATCAGGACACATCGCTTTAAAAATAGGTTAGGTTAATGTGTGTGGATAAATGACATATACTTGAAAGTTATTATATTTTATTTCAATAAATGACAAATTGTTATATTTTATTTGGATATGCATGAGATGTTAGTTGTTGTTACAACCTGTCTCCAGAGTGAATGGTAAATCCCAAACTTTTAACATGGTACCGAACAGCAATAAATAACTGAACGAACTAACAGATAAAAACAACTGAGTATACAGGTATACTGATACGCATGCACAGTTTTCCGTCCAATCCAAGTCCAGATATTCAACTCTCCCGTTTTGTGTCCTGATAACCAACAAGTACCAAAAAGTGTTTTCACTTGACACTAGAACAATAAAACATTTTCTAGCCCCTATTAACTCTGTGCCCCCTCCCGTCTTCCAAGCCACATCTATTCCTTTCTCTTGTGGGTAGTACAAGTTATTGAAAAATCACAACACTTCCAATTATGATATATTACAATACAAATGTCTTTATTTTCCACAGTGTTTTGACATGTGTGTATAGTTGAATGGCACCTTTTTGGGGGTGGTATATGACAATTAAGAAATTGTCAAACAAATTCTGTTGTTAAGGCAGGTTTTATTACATTGGCAAGAGCAAAACAAAAGTTTAGTGATAAGTCTAGCAGTAAATCATATTATGTTGGTAAATGCTAAAAGTGCTCAAAGAATATGGCCACTATATTATAAAGTTCTTCTCATACAAAAATGTACTGTTTACATGTTCATATCATCCACTTTGGAAATTTCACAAAAAACAAACATAGTATAACCATTCTGACATATAAAGAACTCTTGTAAATAAATATAGAATGTTCTACTGACTGAAACATTTATATAAAACATACTGAAGCTGAAAGAGTTCCAAATCATCAAAAGAAAAATTCTCCCATTATCTGCAACATACACTCACAAGATGAATTAGTCTAACGGAGAAAATGTGTTTCAATGTTATACATACAACTGAAGTCAGCTAAGGGTAAAAATTTACGTATAATGTTACATATTACAAAGCAAATAAATAATTAGCTTGATGTGCCATCCACATTAAAATTTGTACATATTTATTTTGCCACTATAATAGGCTCTGACTTCGCACAAGCTTAAGTATGCTCTCAATATAAGATAATGTCCTGAAGATGTCTGTACTTACTACAATGTCTGGTGTGCTTTCCTTGAAGCGAATTGCAGGCATTGGGAAATCTATTCTGTCTTGGTATGAATACTGGCCATTGAAACCAAACCCAACAACTTCACGGTTTCCAATTCGGCTACGTCCATGGATACAGGCTTTCTGAAGTTTCTGCACTTGTCTCAGTGATGAAAACAATAATCGACTAGCCATACTATCTAAAAAGTGCAGTGGCATTTCATTAACTCTTCTGAAACTTTTAAAGCATGTTAATTCAGCAGTAATACTGTTTACATTGTCAAATCAACCGTCAATTTTTCTAAATAAGTCGTACCAATTACAAGCTGGCTCATTTTCAGAAAAACGGCTTCACTTGTCAAGCCGCACAAATTTAGCAAGCTCCAAGTCTCAAACAATATGCAAAATTATCATGAAATTGTAGGAATCGAGACAAATGGGCTCACTTACGATTTACAATGAAGAAAACCCCGCAACACTAATACTGTTCATCCTAATGTATATCTCTCTAATAAAGGGAAATTATTCCACCAAAAATATGTTAATGTCTCAGATTTTTCTATAATTAGTATACTTTAAATGTACATTCATTTCTACACATCTTATAAATAATACATCAATAATCTTAAGTTTACACAAATACGTCCATTAACAGAAGAAAGTTGCTAGCCATCACCAACAGCAGACAGTACAATAAACTTTAAATTATAATCACTACAGTTAATGAATGTAATATACTAATTAACAGAATCTATTACAAACTGTTGCGCACATACAACAGACAAACTACGTAAAAATTATACTGCAATACATCTATTTCTACGAACCGTTCAGAGCTCTAAATATCAAGATGGTACGAACCAATCCTCAAACCCAAAAGGAAGGTTATATGACAATATCAGAAATAACAACAAGAGCCTATATTCACGTAAATATTTACGTGATATTCTTAAATGTGTGTTTTAACTTAATCCTAATGTCATAAGTTTCTTATTAAAACAATTTTCATTATACAAAAATATAAGAATATTTACATTCGATTACAAGGATCGATGCCTCGGTTTTGAGGTTATCAATCAAACACAATCGATGGTATCGTTGGTGATCGAATGATTCTTACTTTTCGATAGCAGAATGATGGCAATTATGCACATTATTCGAGCAGAAGAGCCAACATTCGAAAAAGAATATTTTAATTGAAAAAAATTGAAGGTTTATATATATCTTATTATTTCTCTGCCTTTTTTTGTGTATCCTTGTAAGGAACTAAGCAAAGGTTTTATTGTGTCGGCCTGTTTATCAAAACTACTCTTGGAAATTTTCGAGGTGGGGTGCCCACTGATTTTCAGAAGGGCCACGGAAGCAACCACAAAGATATTAGAACCCTAAACTTTTTCTTAGGAGCTTGATCAAGAATGTTGAGAGACTCTTTCAATACTGATCCAAAATGTGATTTGTTCAACCAGGTTCCCTTTATAGCCAATAAGTAGGTTGCCAACCCCTGGTTTAATTTAATGACACTGCTTCAAGCTTACGCTATATGAAGTTAAATGATAGGATTATTAATGCTTAATCAGTTGAAAAGGATGCAGTCTTGACATTAACTTGAAGCGATTGACAAAGGTGAAATGAAAAACTAGTTATGTTGCTTTCTTTGAGAGCCTGAAATAAGATGAAATCTTCATCTCCCATTCATGTAAATACTAATTGTTTCCATATGGGGTTCTGAAATTAATCTTGTATGATTCTGCATATGTCAATACCACAAAACTTTATTTGCAGTCATTAGTTGAATATGACTAGCTCTACAGCACAAGATCTTCCTTGAGATTTTGCCTCAGCTAGTTAGATATTCCCTGCTATAATGAATCTTTAAGGTTGACCACCAGGTTTACAAAAGCCTGACCCTGAACCCTGTCCTGAGAGTATTCAATATATTTGGTGTCTTCATCTGATTTTATAAAATCTGACTTATACGTAGTATTATTGTCATCCTATATATGCCTATTCTCGCAAGTCATGACTGACATAGCATGAAAATGGATTCAAATAATTTAACACCAACTTTATAAATGATTGTGAATTGTTGTTTCTCATTTAGAACAGCCATCTAGCCTTACTTTACAGTAATTTTTAAGAGAATAAAAGAAAACAGTTTTTATTATGTTTATTTCTTACAAGAGGTTACATAAAAAAAGAAGTCTCTCTCACACACACACACACACTCATTCTCTCTCTTACAGTTCAGTGGAAATGTAGATCATACAATCTGGACATCTGCTGCAAGAAGGTAGTTTTTCAAATGTGCAAGATCATCATGTGAGAGACCAGTGCTTAAAAGTGGACTCAGCTGGCCAGGATATGCAACAGACAGCCTGTGCAGACTCTCTGCTAAATGAAATCTTGGTTCGCTGACACCTAACAAAACAATGTTATCATGTTAAATACATGCTATAAAATGATATAAAAATAGCTTACCAACATTTTTAAACTCAAAAATAAAATACAAATTGCGAGCATTAAATATAAAAAAGAGAGATGAAAGAATTTATATAAAGCCTGTTATGTATCAAACATTTTGAATGTATATAGCTCTTTCCTTTCTACAATCATGGAATGTCAAAACTTACAGGTCATCTTAGAACTGTACAAACAAGGCATTAAGCCATCACCCCTCAATATGATGTATATGATCAAAGAATAATACAGGACTGCATACCATGCAGAGGATCATGATCCTTCTTGTTTGCATAGGCCAGTTGTGAATAAGCTGCTTGGTATCCAGGTGTATCCTCAACTTCAACGTAATGATCATCTGGTAATGTTGACTCAAGCACTGGTAACTCAAAAAAACCAATAAGAGTTTGCAGAAGTTGTGCCCTGCAGCAAACAAATTTATCACCAATTTTCACTTAATGTCTGAGACATCATCAAGCTCAGTCAATAAGAGAGCTACAAAATTTATTATGAAATTCATTGCATATTTTCAATAGTACTTCTGCAAATAAAAAAATCGTTAATCTTGTTACAAATGAAATTTCACTGAATTTAAGAATTTGACAGTTTTAATACAAAAAATTAAAATGCAATTTTCAACAGACATGTCCAAACAGATACTCAAATCATTCAAAACTGATATAAAAGAAATAGCCATTTAAAACAATGTTTACCAGAGGTGAGAGTAGGAGCCATCCATCATCTCCTTGCAGTTACAGAGAATATTTGTGATCCCTACTGCTACTATTTTGCGTTCAACACGACCTGAAATCTTCCGAACATCAGGGAAGATTACTTTATCCAGAAATCTGCCAAACATCCTGGCAGTAGAAGAAGAAAAACTCATTTTTTATCTGAATTTTAAAATGTACTTAATAATACTTCCTACATAAATGGAGGTAGTGCAAATGATATTATTCACTTCATCTCCCTTAAGACACATCTGGAGACTTTCAGTATTTTTATGTATTTCCTTTATTGTCAGTCATTTGTTGGAAGACAAATTTGCTACCTGAAAATGCTTGACTGTAACAGAAAACTAGGAAAAAGGAGGAGTGCTAGTGTAATTTGTATGGAAACTAACAAATAGTTAATATGAGATTTGATAAAAATAAGGTATTTCACCATGTGACCCTGAAGAAGGATACAGAAGATTTCTCTGAAATGGCAGCATCCTTATTACTTCACATGGTATTATAAATACAATACAATGGAGTGATCTATATTTCTCCGTTTAGTTTTATTCAGATGATTTACATGATAATTTCAGTGACTCCACAGGAACAGCATTTCCCACTTACTTTGGCTGGATACTGTCAACCATTCCTACAAGATTTCCAGCTCCATATTTGACTGCATATAAGGAAAAGAAGACAATCAAGCCTTTCACAAATTTTGTCGTCTTTGATGAAGACAAACGATGAAACAGGAGAACAAATACTTGCTTCATGTATGGTGATAGGTTATCACTGAAAACAATCATACCAATAAATTATATGAAGCATACTTACGCATGATTAATAATGCACCAACTTGTACTTCAACAACAGACTGCAACTCTTCAGTTATTTATGATTTTTCAGAGTAGACTTTAATTTATAACATTAAAATGCCTATAATTTTGGTATTAATTAAAACACATAAAACTGTAACTCTGAGATCTGTGAAGCAGCAATAATAAATAACATGTGCAGATTTGATTAATTTGTTGTATTTATTTCTAAATCTTGCATATGGCTGTATGAAGCATAGTGTTGTAAGTATTTACACCAGTTTTATAAATTCTGGTTACGTTGGATTCATAATGTACCAACTGTAAGTCAACTTCCTTTCACAGTAGAAAATGTTAAGGAAAATAATTTTATTATTTGAACATTCGTAATTCTTAGCTACAATTATCTGGTATAAACACAACTTTTTGTCACAGAACACTTTTCCAGTAAAACTTACACCTAGTAATCCTTGTGCTTCCTATATTGCCATACTTTTGCCTCAAAAATACTGAATTTCTTGGATACCACATGATTACCATATTTACCCAAACAACATGCATATCTTTTTCCTAAAACTGTTACATAAAAACTAAACGTGCATGATATTCAAAGATTCACTTGTTGTTTTTACAGTCTTTCATTTGTGAATATGAAGTGACCATACAGGAAAATTAAAATAAACATCATCACATATTCTTGTAAATATAACATGTATAAAATAAGCACTACTTACTCAGGAAAATGCTCAACTAGAGATTGTAACAAGTAGAAACCTTCATGGTCATTAACTTTTGATGCAATAAGCTTCTGAAACACTCCCAACAATCCACTCTGAAATACACACAAGTTAAGTTTATTTTTCTAATAAGAATCACAAGAATTTTAAGATGCCCAACTATCTCACTTCATGACATAAATATTCTGGTCCAGTGTGACAGAACTGTTGCACCTCTACACATATCATACAGCGACATCTGACTGCAGTTATACTGTACAGGTAAACCTCGATTTACGCTGGGGATGCGTTCCTGGACGGACAGGCATAAATGGAATCGGCGTAAATTGAAACTCTTTTTATAATGTAAATCAATGGGAAGTCAATGACATGCATTCCCGGCACCCAAACATTGACAACTTAAGTTCCTCAAAAATTGACTTCGCCTTATCCGTGATAGCAATTTCAGTCAAGGGAATGTTTTTTCAATTCATGTCATCCACCCATAACAACTGTAATTTCTCCATTCTTTCTAAAAGTTTACTTCTGCTATAACTCACTTGCGTTGCACTTACTCTCGTACCCTGTTGCATTGACTGTTTTATTTTATATGAATTTTTCATTATGGTAGTCAAAGTGGAAGGAGGCAACTTCATACTTCTGCATACATTAAGATGGGTATCACCACCTTCTATTCTATCTTATCTTATCTTCTAACGCAATAGACCTACGCAACTTTTTAGCAACATATTCACTTCTCTTACCAGACATGGTGGCTCTTCTACAATTTATAAGTAAGAAACAGTTGCTACTGCAGAATAGTAGTCGAACAACAACACAAACATGTTTAACACACAGTTTTCAGCACATTCAATGTGTCAACAAGAAGCGAACTGAGCGCATTTTTCCTTACTCCCTTATCAGGCTGTGCGCAAATGACTCACCGTGAAGAGTGACCAATGCTCACGTGATTGTTGTGCAATTTTGGTGGATTTTTAGGAGATTATCTCGCAACTACTTAGCAATGAGTGCAGAGGTGACTGTGTTTATAATTTTTATTCAAAATCAGCGATGTAAGAATTACGATTCAGTATAAGAATCAGTACAAGAAACATTGTAAAACGTTATAATAGTAAAATATACATTTTTTTTTTTTGACTTGCTGGTTTCAAAAGCGGCTTTATTCTGAATTGGCGCAAACTGAGGTGGCGTAAATCGAGGTTTACCTGTATATGTATAATTTTATCTGCCTAACTTTTGTTGAAATAATAAACATACACAAAAATTTAGCTTAACACAGGGAAAGCACATAATGTACATCAGGTCTCTTTTGCAGAAGTTGATACACTTACTGCAGATGGTGTGATGGTACCAATCACACTTTTTCCAGCATACAGTGCATGCGCGCACACACACACACACATTTATCATTTGGTACATGAAAACCATTATAGTTACAGAATTTTGCTGAAACAAAAGCTTCACATTTGTTGTCATCGTTTATGTCACAGATGGCTCTCATGACATTTTATATTAAAACAAAAGGAGAGGGGGACATTCTAGAAAAACACAAAGTGACAACCTTCTGGAAAGATGCATGCTGATAGATATATATATATATATTTTAGCTTCACGAGTAGATATGGCTGCACAGTTAGTCAAAGGATTTTCAACCCAGTAGTAATACCTAAGGCAATAAAGTTTTTGAAAATAAGGTGATTTACAGGAAAGCATATTTTATACTGTTTAACAAATGAATGAATTCTTAGAATGACATATGGCTCTAGAATATATTGTTAAACTATACATTAACTTACCAATTTCTGCGAAGCAGATATTTGAGCAGCTCCAGTTTGAACAAATGCTTGCAGTAGTTGTACCAAAGGATGAATGTTACCAGGGCGCTCCCAGAGCACAGGAGCAAGCAAGCAAGGGAACAGAATCATGTATGGCTCTGGTATTGTACCACTCCCATGCTGCTCCAGAAGGAGTGACAAAATTTGGAACACATATGGAACAAATTCTGAGAACACAGTAAAAAAGAAAACACACACATGACAAATGTGAACATATATGAAGAAATCACATCACCTACTAAATACAATTCAAAAATGAAACAGGAAATTTAAATTCTCACCACTCAGTGACACTTCAAGGGTGGCTCATCTCAATAATTATAAAAATGATTTATTTCAATTCTACTACCAGATAATTACATTCAAACACAAAAAACTTTCAGTCAATTTTCACCTAACCCTATAAGTAGTTTGAAGATAGCATAAAGATAGTCAAGGATAAATGTACAGAATATTTGTGTCTAATAATGTTCAGGATGTTGAGTAAATTTTAAACAGATTGGATTAATGGCCACATTTTTATGAAAATTATCACTAACATCATGCTACTGGAGAGCACAATGTCTTTTTTGCTTTTAACTGATGATCCCAAAATGGTTTAATATATATATATGCAACTTTTGCCAAAGTCGTCTTTTTTGTAGACTGTAAAAAACTGAGACTACACAAAATTCATATTTATCATTAGTGCTTATGGTATAGTATGAGAAATGCTGATGCAGAGAGAACACAAACATACCTGTTACCATGTATCTCAGTAGCAGCCAGTAACAAGTACCCATATGTCTGCATTCCAACCTTGCTTTTATTTTATTTTGATGACAGTTTTGAACAATGGAATTTTTATAAAATCACAGAATATATGAACAGAATGTTAGCATTATTAAGTATTTAAAAAATATCTTCATCTAGCATTGCTTCAAATTTTATATGTTCTGAAGGATGAAAAGTCTCCAAAAAAACATAACTAAGGAAAGAAAACAAATGTGAACTGTTTGGCACAGCACACATGAAATGAATCTGCAGTACAGGAAATAAAGTTAAATATGATGAAGAGCTGATAGAATAATTATACATCACATTCATTCTACAAATTTTGTAATCACCCTAATAATGGAGGCAGTAAGCACATCTGAAATGTAGTAAATTTTAACCAGACCACATAGTGCAATATACCAGAAGACAGTCATTTTTAACATACTGTTTTGTTTTAAAAAATTACAAACATGGCAAGTATGCAAAACTCTGGTAAGCTTTGAGACAGTGGAATTCTATAACAGCACAAATTATACACTGAAATATATCACAAAGTTGTAAAACTATTAATTTGTATCTACTAGCCTCTACATACAGATGATCTTACTTATAGCAGTTTCATTAGTTTTGCCCAGAACTTCTTCTTTCTATCATACAAGTAGTTTCTGCTTTATAGTAATAGGTTAGAATGGTTTCAACATACCTTGAACATCTTGCTGAAGAATTCCCTGAAATATTGGGAACAAAGCTTCTTCAAATGAAGCCACTGCATTTGAATCAGTGGCACAAACAATTCTGAAAGAAGTAAAGAAATGATCAATCTTGTTCAATCTGACTACCTCTAACTTCAAGCTAACATGTGTCTACTGTGAAATTTTGTAAACAGAAAAATAAAAATATATATAAATGAATGAAAAGCTAAACTGGATTGCTAAGACACAACCATTGTATGTAAATATCTTTTCTTACCTGTATGACTTTTACTATTACGGACTTTCTATAGTACACTATGCTCATTACAATGAAGTTATTGCTTAACACTTTAAATAGCAAGGTTTATTTAAAGAGTGATGACAAAATTTAGCATAATCTAACATAAAGCAATCTTTCTCAGGCTAACATTAAACTCTAAGTTAAAAAACAAAGTTGTATGTAACTAGACAGATTCCTATAGAAATATATTGTAAAATGAAAATAACTTTCTCAATTACAATTCGCTTACCTGATAGAAATGCTAAGTGTTTCAAACAGATAGTGATTGAAATGAGGGCGGCTTGGATTGCGAGCTACAAATGATAACTTCTCTGTCAATTTGGGTAACAGCTCACCAAGAAATGGAATAACATGTTCCTGCAGAGATGAAAAACTACGCATCACAGCTGCAAAGACAAAAACGTAAAAATTAAAATTTACTCTGTATATATAAAAAAACTAAACAAAACCTTCAAGAGAATATAACATTCCTTCATGAATTCTCAATACCTTTTCCTTTTGTTTACAAACTAATATAAATACAAATGTACTTTCAATAACATTATGAAAAATTTATGACATTTATTCAAACATTAAATTTATGGTTCCAGAGTTATTATTAGGTAAAGCAAAAATTTAAACTCAAACTTGCAACATTTGTTCAATGTGAGCTTCACAATTTGGAGGAAGGAAACTTGACAGATGGGGTGGAAAGAATCGACCTTCACAATTTTACAGTTCTAAACTTTATGTCATACAAATTAACCTGAGATCAACCAAAAAATTATGGTTTACATTACTGACATTGGCTACGCATAAATGAAATCTTCAGCTCTTCATGGTTACAGCTGACAGATATTAGAGGGATTCAGATTGGGTCTGGGCCCTATCAGTGCAATCAGGGTTCTATGAAAGGCCCTAACAAGATCAGGGGTGAACAATGGACCCATCAGTAGCGTGACTGCCTGGCACAATTAAAACAATGAAGCTAAGAGATGGAATGAAAAGGTTTTGGCTGTTTACAAATATGCAGTTCATATAATACAATGTATGCTACTAATAGTCTAACCCCAGTTCTGTAGATTCTTGTTCAAAAATAAAGAAGAAGAGCTAGAAATAAAAGGAGTGGACTGTATGTTGTGTTAAATATTTTCAGTATACTTATACTGTACTTGATGTTTATAAATTATTAAATATAACAAAGATTACAGCTATTCCATAATAACACTATCTTAGGTTGCTTAGCCTTACTTTCTTTAATATCAAAATACATAACAGTTTATCAATGGTATTACCTTTCATAACATATGCATTTTCCTCAGAGCCTGGCAAATTCATTGTTTTAAACAAGTTATTCAAAAGACTTGGTGCAACTGGAACTATTTCATCACTCTTCACCCTACAACAGAAGATTAAATTCTATAATTAAATAATTCTAATATAATAGACGTACTTCAGAAGTTTCCTGTAAGGCAGCAAAAGTTTGCAATGGTTTGGTCAAGCGAGCTATCCTTAAACCTGGCATTAGTACAGGTGAATGAATTATGAATGCATTCATTTAAACTCAAATTGAAGTGGTTGGTTGTCCAACATCCCATCATAAAGAAAGAATGTACAATATAATCAACACTTTGAAAGTGATGCACATCATATTTTTACTCAAAGATTTCTGTCTTCCGGGTTGTTGCGCTGTGTAGTCTGGTCGATGTTAACCAACGTTTCAGAGGTCATACTGCCTCCGTCATCAGGGCGGAGGCAGTACAACCTCTGAAACGTTGGTTAACATCGACCAGACTACACAGCGCAACAACCCAGAAGACAGAAATCTTCATACTCACCGCTGTGAAAACCTCAAATCTTACATGTTTTTACTCATCAGAGATTTGTGTCTGACTATCCCATACCACTGTTAATGGTACACTGTTGCATCATTCTTGGATGACAAGCTGCAATCTGCCCTGTCCCAAAAAATAAACCACTGGAATGTGCCATCACTTTCTTCAAGATGTGCAAAGCTTGAAGGCTTGGTCATGAAAGGTGATAGGATATCCTCCTTATTCCCTGGACATGAATCCATGTGATTTCTTTTTGTTTGCTTGGATGAAAGAGTCACTTCAGGGACACTAGTAAGAATGTGTAGAGGCCACTGATAAGGCTGACACAGTACTTTTACACTGTCTGAGCACAGATAATTACAGTACTGTAACTAACTCTATGCCTCATTGATGGAAATTGTATCAATATTGGTGGTGAATACACTGCGTAGGGGACACATGTTATGTTAATATTTAGATTAATTTGTTATTACTGTAGTGTAAGCTGATCAAATACAGGAAACTTCTCAAATGTCATTCATACATAAATGAATTGTTAGTTCATGCACCTATCTGTACACTGTGTTTTATTTCAAATTTTTTGATGGAATGAAGGCCTAAATGTAGAATTACAATAAGAAAATGTCCCCTTCTGTTCCCCAAACTCATTTATAAAAAAAGGCACAGCATTTCACAGAGACAAGATATGGTATGCTGAGTCAAGAAACACACAGGAGTAAAAATGTTTAAGACATTCCAAATTCTTATACTTACATGGCACTTCCATCAGGGGTTTTCATGACCAATATCTTTTCAATAGCACAAGCTGCATAAGTATGCACAACTTGGCTGTAAGCAGTCAGATGGCGCACTAGCTGTGGGATTGACCCCACTACGACCTCTCTTGGTAAAATAGTACGGAATATCAGTACATATTTAATGCTGTCAGCTATCAGAACAGGCAATGTATTTACTGTCGGTAAAAAGAATAACACAAAACATTATCAAGAGTAACGATGAGCATTAAAATTGAAAACCATCACAAACAACATTCTTAGTGACCATATCAATAACATCAACAACAAAATATTGAACGGACCAAGTCCCTATATTTGAAGTTTGCCATTTTGGTGTATGGTGGTAGAGGTGAAAATTATGCCAGCAATGTTTAATTCCTTATTAAAACAATCTTATAACTATGTATTCCTACTGACAAAATAAAAAGTTACCAAATGTACCCATAAGCAGTACTGAAATAATGAAATTGCTATCAGTCTCTTAATATGAATTACCACTTCTTCTTCTACCTCAGCGCTAAAGCCTGGGGTGGGCTTTGGCCTCCCTATGAATTACCACAGACTAAAGTTTTATCATTCATCACGCATATCACATGATTAAAAAATGATTAACTGCCCTTTTGCAGCATATGGAAGTGAAGGCTGGAGAAAGAGTTTCACAAAATACATTACTTTGTACACTGGATTACCACAAGATATAACAATTAACCTACTATTACAAGTACCTGCTAAACAAGGAACTGACAACTTTCCCTTTGTTCGTACCACCAATCCACTATCAACCACTTTCAGTAAAGTGGATCCTGCACAAAATCAATTGATTTATTCCATTTTGTGCATTCTTCATGCTTTAGGATAAGTAAAGAATACCTTATAGGTCCATCCATGTTTGTCTATCATATTTTTCAGCTTAAGAATTAGGCAACATACATGGCTTGAGACAGACCTGGGGTCAAGACTTTTAGTGTTCTATGTCTCCCCCCACCTCCCAGAGTTTCTAGCTCACATTCTGCACCAGCAGGGTTCTTTCTCCCTACATCTTTGCCTCCTTTGGCTTGCCTCACTTTAGGGCCTGGATCACAAGGCTTGTTCCAACATAGTTTTGTCCTGCTGGACCTTGCCCTGGGTTAGAAACCACTGGGCTTCTATAACCTCAGGTTAGATCACCCAGGCCCTGATAACATCAGAAGTGCTCTCAAAGGGCTTGACCACACAAAGGCTAGGCCACCTCCGAGGACTCCACCCCCTGGGTGTCTCGAACTTTCAGCAAGATATAATTATTTTTGCCAATATTTCCTAAATCTACCGAATTGAAAGCTTGCATATATTGCAATGTAAAGTTATTTTATCAATGAACGTACCAGCATCTTTCTGCAGTTCAGGCAAGACATGTTCATTGGCGAATGATGTCAAATCAACAAGTTGGCTTGTCTGAGTGATACCATGACGCTCTGTCTGGCCTTTAGACGCTAGTGAAGTCACTAAATACAGTACTGTGTCCTTGTCTCTCCAGTTCTGCCATGGGTTCTCTTTGTACTTTTGAAGCATAACCTTATGAACAATAAAATATAACACTACACAATCTCAAGATTTTGCACCATTACCATGCTTAAAATTGTTCATTTATAAATAAAACTGCATAATTTGTTATGCTATGCATATTTCATAACTTGTTTTATATGATATTATCAATATTAGTATGACACTGTTTTTGTACCACCTCACTATAATACAAGATACATACCTGTACATAGGAGCTGAAGATTTCTGTTATTTTTTCCTCGAAGTACCGTGACAAAACCTTGACCAAATCACAAGCTGCTCTCCGTCTTGTATCTACATCTGAACCCTCAATATCTCGACGGATATATTCTTCAGCATTATCTACAAACAACTCCTCATCTGAAACTGAACGTATCATACATACCCTATGTATTGAAGGCTTCATGACTACATCTCATACACATTCCATATAGCAGAAAGACATAATACAGAAAGCCTGGAAGAAGTTAAATCTATGAGAATTGGGCAGTAACTGTACTCTGCTGTAAGGTGCTATTATTATCTTTCAACACTTTAAATGTTACAGAAGATGAACTGGCTTCTATTTTACTTCCTACCTCTGAAGACCATGTTTGGAATGATAACCTTCTCACATATGCTGGTGAGAACATTTACATCTTGAAACAGGTATCTGTAATGGGACCGGTCTGCCACAGTCGCCAGAAACTGAAGAGCATTGCTTACAAGCTGAAAATATAAGAATTAAGAATAATGTAGCATCATCTCTCAAAAACATCTGTATGAAACTAGGAAATAAAATATTTGGCTAAGTTTTGTATTATAAACTTTTTGAACAAAACCTGGATATCCCTGGCTAGCATAAACTACAGCATGTCACTTTGCCTAGGACATCCAATTCTGTTACTTGTTCTACCTCCCCCCCCTTCCCCCTCCTGACATCTGTATGATCTGAGAGAGAATATGTATCCTGTGCCATCAATTGACAAATGAATTTCTTGAGGTCACCAGTAAATAGCAAGAGTGCTGGTGGATGTATTATTATGCTATGTATGGTGCTCCAGGCTAATGTATTCTTGAACAACATAGTCATGATGCTGCCACTATCCTGTCTCATTTAAAATAATCAATTCTACAGTACTGTAAATTTCTGCAAGTTTAATACCTCAATTTTTATGCTACATTAGGAATATCCAACCACTTATACAGACTGTGAAACACAACTTACCAGATCATACTTAGGTTCTAGATCGGTGGTCACCAGAAGGTTCCAGACAGAGGTCACAAACTGGGGCAGATAAGGCTGAAACTCTTCATCATATTTTTGTGCATACAGTGCAATGTTATCACAGACCTGCGATTTCAACTGTTCCAAGAGTCCTGCATCATCTTCATCATCCTTAAAGAATTATTAAGATTTTTGCAATACCACAGTTACAGAAGAAGATCCAACTAAATTAGTTCTATTTATCACCACTTACATAACAAGACTGGAAAGGTGTACACTGAAATTCCAAAGTTGTTCTTCATGTCACAACATGGGCAGTAATATGAACATGTTACTTCAATAACAACCATGGTTCAAAGAAATTGTAAGCCTAAATCACTCTTGCTCAAAAGGGACAAAGTCAACATTTTTGTGATAATGTAATATTATATATATTGTGAACCAACAATTACCCCAGTTCCCACAGTTGTTACTATGTGTTCCAACAATAACATAGGTTCCCATTCTTGTAACAATTCATTCCAACAATGGCTTTGGTTCCCAAATAACAAACTGTACACACTCTGCCATCCTGTGACAAATGTTAGAAAGTATTTGTATGTTCTGACCAACATGTAGAAATGAGGAAGCTAAGAAATACTCAGCAGGCAAAGGGTTCAAAAGGACTTAAAAATAATTAATAAGGATTTAAAAAATAACTTACAGAAGTTTGAAGACATTTCACATCTGCTGTTAGCAAGTTGTGGAAATTTTCCATCCAAATTTTCATGTTATCTTCAAAGAATTCTGGTAAATCCTTAAAAGGAAATAGATTCATACAATTACCCTACTGAACTACTGTAATTTAAAAAGAACAGAAAAATATACCCAAGTGCCCCTTTATCAAAATAAATACAATTAAAACTTCAACGTGTATTCCTCGTTTTTCTCTTATTCTCACAATATATGGGACTTCCTAGTTGCTAAATTTATATAGATTTTACTTTACAGACATATTTTATAAAATTTATAGAAAAAAACCCAACAAATCATCAGTAAACATAAGTAAAACCAAATGTTATAAAAAATATATAACTATTTTATTCTGTTAATAAGGCTGCAGATAATTGACTGGCATGTTAAAAAGGTATTACATCTCCAATAGTGTACAACCTGAAGCAACATTATGAAGAGTGAGATAACAGATGAGGTGGGACATTTGAAAACTCAAGTTCTAGGATACATTTTCATTAAATATGTGGAATGGACCACAAAATGAAACTATATAAACTGCCCAGAAGTATAAATGTGATTGACATACCTACTTTAGAATATTCAAGCACACTAGTTCAAAAAACTTGAATCACATCAAAATGACTTTCACATTTATTCAGGAAAATGGATCCACTATTACATCATCCAAAAGCAACTACACGAAACAAGCAGCCTACCTTCATTTTCAGCACATTCAGATTACAAAGTATATCATTTCAGTTCCAAGGCCAAAATTTTCAAACATATATTTATAGCATATTTTAAAAGAGCACTATAAATCTAAATTAATAAATAAATATGAGACAAAAATAATTCAAAAATGATGGTTAAATAAATATGATGGCTAAACAAAGTACAAACACATTTAATGTTGTCAGATACTTGGAATCTAAACTGTTTTAAGGCAGTGAAAATTATTCAGTAGACTGGGACTTCTAATAACATGATTGGAAATGTGTACTCTTTGGAGTACACGGAATTCAAAAGGTGTTCTTTACGCAACTGCCTAGTTCCTACAAGAACAGAGAGATAAACATGGACAGACCCTTCGTCATTCATGCTAGTACAAGAAGACCACCTACAAATTCATTATGTCAAAAGTTTTAAATGTAAATTAAGTTGTAAAGAAAAAAATACCTAGGACCATTATGTAGGCCTATATTAACTTTTAAACAATAAATACTTCAAATTCTTACCTGGAAATTGAGGGAGTAGAAGACTTTACAGATGATAACAAGAGAATTATAAATTACTTTGAGTGCCTCAGTGTTATTCGCATGAACAGTTGTTAAATTTATTGTTGCCTGAGGAGAAAGGAAAAATAATTGTCACGCCCAATGAAAATACAGAAACTAAGACATAAAATATTAAATCCAGAACTTATTTTAACATTAATGCACATTTTTACTTACTGCTTACCTGGAACAATTCTGTGAGAGGTTTAGCAAACTTATCCAGAACAAACTTTATTTCAGTCCAAAGCTCTTGAGATTTGAATTCAAAGCGATATCGTTTAAAAAGGGAATGAGCAGTGTGTAAAACACCATTGATAACATGGAAGTCACCTATTTATGAAAGAGAAAATCAATTTAAGTTAATCTTATGTATAGTTAATATTCTGAAATGTAATGTTGAGAGATCATAACCCAAACCTATGCATGGTGTTATATCTTGCTACAGACAATTTGTTACATGCATGATGATAGAGAATCCAACAAACAAGTTAGTAAACTGTATTTCCACAGCATACTCCCATACCACAAAACTGATTTTAAAATGCAAAATAACTGATAGTCATGATTTTTACATTTTTGGTATATGGTAAATCATAAAACCAGTAAGTTTCATCAGGACCCAAAATCATAACTTTTAAGTTCAAAATACAATAAATAAAGATGACTGTCATCTGGGTTCATGTGACTGGTAGAATCTAATTTTACTGCCTCCATCAGGGTGCCCTAATGATGGAGCCTAATGTAGCAATTTGTGGTTTTGCCTATTTAAATCTAATGGTAATGACATACAAGTACCAGTAGCAAATTTTTCAACCATCTGTGATATAAGGTCTGGCCACTTGTTTGGGAAATCATAGCGACCAATAATGGACACTGCATCACTTAGCTGTTTCTGGATTGCTTCTGGAGAGTGAAGCATCAAGTTCACTATAAGTTGTTTGACTGCTTCTCGATCTTGCATGTGAATCCGATCACCTGCATCATCATCCTGGAAAGAATTAAAGATCAAATAATTTACTAGACTACATATTGAGAGCATAACCATTATATATCTGTACTTGATAAAATCCACTGCATTATACCCAAAGCAATGGTGTATAATATTACATCTGCTGTGGGAAATATGCTACTACTATGTAAGGCACAGTACCTCATAAAGCGAATACATATTGCCATAATAAATGTGCGTCACAAAAAAAAATGCACATCTGTAGTAATGCAGCTCAGTGAAATCTGAAACCCACTAAATTTGTCTCATTTTGCATTTCAGGTGGAGGACGATATTCATGAGTGATTTTAAGTTATCCTGACAACTTCCTGGAATGACCAAGAAAAATATAAAAATCTGAGTCAGAATAGCCAATCAAGAATCCACATGGCTTGTTGATATTCCTTCCTTTACAAATTCACGTGGAGCCAATTTACTTTTTCATACAGCAGTAAATTAAAAAATGCACCATACCCTTATGTAAATTTAATGAAGACTGAAGAACTTAGACAACTTATTATTAAGATTAAGAATAACTGTGCCAAAATTTTATTCAGCCTGAAAAATATGCTGAACAGCAACAATAAAAACACTGAACTCACCACTTTCCAATTTCGCTTAACATAATTTTTGAATGCAACAGCACCTGCAACTCGTATTGTTTGGTGGACATCTTCTTTGTCAACCAGATGTAACAAAAGCAGGGGATAATTCTGATTAACTTCAACTGATTCAAGGAATTTCTCAGCTGAAGAAAGAAGAAATGTCATCAACATAACAAAATATAGCACATAATGTTCTAATTAACATGAGCTTAAAGACTGACAATGTCACTGTGACACTCACAAGGAATAATGGAGTGTGATGCATACACGGAATTATGAACATGGCTCCAGAAATATAATTTAAATCTACTACTCATTTTAAAATGATCATCTTACCCAACAATTCATAGTATTCTTCAGACACACATACTCATACCTCATAACAGGTCTCTTGTGTTACATTCTCAATGAAAAATAGGCAAACACATTTCTGGAATGAATGATAAGAAAGCAACCAGCCATTTCAGTTGCGAAGTTAGCATCCATTTTATAAGCAAGAGATCCCATGTTCCATTTTGTTACCTAAGGATTGGTCTGTCCTACTATGTTTTGTAGTTTTCCTCAGCACTGCCAGACAAATATGAGCCACTACATTAAATGAGCCTTGACTACCTTCTTTTACATTTACTTCAATTCATAATTACCTTCTCATTCAAAACTATAAAATCTGAAATCTAAAAAAAACTGACCTATTTTAAGGTTATATCTGGAGAGAGAGGGGGGGGGGGAAAGAAATAGATTATCTGCAGTAACAGGCATGCATATCACCTTCTTATTTACAGTGCATCTTTGTTACTAAGTCAAACAACTCTCATTTTTTAACTATAGGCCAAAATTACTACACTATTTGTTTTGGTTCTTGGCTCTATTCTACCCTACATGATTAGCCTGTGCAGATATTATCCTGTTTGCGTAAACAGATAAAACATGTAGTACACAATAAGGGCAAGAATGAGAATAAAACAGTGACATATCTGTTGGGAAAGTATCATAACTAGAGAAATACAGTGGTGTGAATAATACAATGTTAAAAACTTGTTATGAATACTGAATTTGGGGAAGAAAAATATTGAACTTTCACGCAACTGATGTAATAAAAATAAAGAAGGTAAAAAATATTTCACCATCTAAATACTTTTACTTTCATAGGAAAGGTCTATATTGACAGATCTTTAACCACACACAGTCTAGTGGTAATCACTATGGTCCACCTTATTAACAATCATTAAGTATGTAATTTTAATTTAAATGTTGTGTGTTTCTCAGTATAAACACAGATTATTTCCTTGAAGAGCATTACAAACTGATCTCTGCAATCGTGAAGTGTTGCATTTTCTTTGTGGTATGGACTGAATTCTTAACTACTATTTTGACAAGCTTTGGCTTTAAGGGTTAAAGAAGAAATTACTAAGTAATTATTCCGCGATATGGCACATGAATAACCATGAGATGTGAAGGGGGATGAAACAAATTAGTGGAATTAATATTTTTGTTGGAAAAATTAACTCACCAGGTCTCCTGACATTGACATCAGGGCTCAATGTATGTTGGAGGTAATTTGAAAGGGTTCTTAAGTTGTCATCTGTTAACTCCATACCTACAAAATCAAAACTCATAAATTAGTCCATCATTTCATCAAGACACTCAGTACTTCTAGATAGTAAACAGCCCATTCGAAGTACCTTACAACACACTACTTGAACAAAATTAGCCAATCTTGAGCAACACACAGTGCATCTTTGACTCTCTTTCTCTCAAAAACAGTTTCTTTTGTGGCAATCTGCACGAATTTAATTGGCACATAATTTCAAGTTTATTTCCATTAGCTTTTTTTTATTAATGAATTTGGGATAAAACGTAACAATTTTCTAACCAATGAACATGGGGTCTGCCGAACAATATTATTTTTACCATTATTTTTTTAAATAATTCTCCTCGTACTCTGGCATACAATGACCAGGAAAACAACTAGAAATACTGAAATTATAATACGTAATATATACAACTACAAATGTATCGGAAATCCAATAACCTCCACTAAATTCTTTATGAACGTTACGAACACACACACACATATCTGATATGAACCCTAGCAGTATAGTTAAAAAACTACAAACTAAATTAAATTTGCTTGAAAGTTCATACATCAACACGTACCTAGAGCTACAATTCTAAATAAAATATATCAATAAAGTTTACACATGTAACACCACAAACTTCAGGCACACATACATAAATTTGTATAAATCGTTGGATATTGCCGGTAGGTGTCACTTTTAGTCAGTTATTATCAGGATGTTTGTAAGCATAAATAATCCAAACGATAAGTGTACCGAATTTCGATTATAAAGTTCGATATAAATTTATCTCAAATATCGATTTCCTGTGCTGTTAGTCGGTATTCTGTGTGGTTTGGTACAATTGTTTTGTACGTAAGATATATTGACTGAAAGGAACGTGAAAAATGGTACGACCTTACCATTTTTAAAATTTATTTAATTTCTGATATTTCTTCATAGTTTTAATGCCGGTGTTTGAGCTGTTCGTAACTGTGTCTTTCCTTTACAGGCCAGTGAGGTGGAAGAGACTATGAAGAGGATACAATCCCATAAGGGAGTGTTGGGCACAATTGTTGTAAATTCAGAAGGTAATTAAATTTTGTAGTGTCATCGCGTTAAGCTTTTTGTTGCACAGTTACACAACTCACTCTATGCTTACGATATATATATATATATATAAATAAATTGTCATAGAACTCCTTTGGACGTCTTTGGGGCTGTGTCAAGGATATTGTATACAGCAAGAAGTGAATTATGTTGTGGACATGCACCACAAAATTAACAGAAGTATTCACTTCTGTATATCCTGCTATGACTGTCTGGGTCTTGAGTAAACTGAATATTGCTTTGACATATGCAGAGTTGTTAGAGTAGAGTAGAGTTTATTTACATTCCATAGATCCTTCTTAGGACTCAACCAAAGGATGTAGAACATGTCATTTCATACAATATACATACACTTCAGAACTTTCAACACAAGTACAAGAACGTATTTCACATATCAATGTACATAAATTCCAGATTCTGCAATACAAGTATGAAAAATAATTTTACAAATTAATATACATAAACCTCAGAATTTTAAATATAAATACAAAACTAGAAGCAGCTCACATTGAGTTGTACTAAATAATACGAGTGTTTGGACATATTTGCTGCTATAGTGAAATGAAAACCTTCCATGTCACCATTGTACATAAATATAATTAAGAAGTAATAATAATAATAATTATTATTATTATTATAATGCTCCATGTTGAACCTTCAGTGTAATGCACTTATTATTTATTGGAAATAATCATTCATTGAATAATTTTGATTGAATGCCATTCTGTATTTTACTGTTTATAAGCACAAAATCCAGTGTATATTTCCCTCAGACGTACTTTTCAACAGGTATCCCAATTAAAACAACAATGGACAACACTACTACTGTTCAGTATGCTGGACTAATAAGTCAGCTGTCGGACAAAGCAAGAAGTGTAGTTCGAGATTTAGACCCCACCAATGACCTCACATTTCTTCGCATTCGCTCCAGAAAGCATGAAATAATGGTTGCTCCTGGTAAGAAAATGTTGGTGTTACTAAGACATAGAAAAATGTGTTATATAATTTGTCTTTGAAGCAGTTTTAATTTTTAAAATATTTTAATGTTTTTTTTCAGATAAGGAATTCATTTTGATTGTCATTCAGAATCCAACAGAGTGAATTATGTTTCAGGAAAGTGGACTACGTGGTGTGAATATCTTGGAAACATTATGTTTAAAATCATAAAATTACCTTGCATCCAGGAAATAGGATCTTAAATCTTTCTGTGTGTAGTTTCAGAAAGTAAGCTTCTTATATCAATTATTTATTTTAATCCGTCACAATATAATTTTATTTAAAATTTCTTATAATTAAGATAATAAAATATCATTCATGTTCCTTATCGATTGATCGATTTACATTTCGGAACATTTACACAACATGTTTCAGTTTTTATAAAACCATCATCAGGTGTAAAATATATCTAAGAGCTTAAAACTCAATTATGATTTCTGTAGTTTTTTGGTGATGTTTCATTACGTTTGTTTTTTCCATTTTTGGGCGAAGGTGTTGTTTTTCTTAAATGTTATTAGATGTACATATCGGCC